GCTTGTCGCAGGCTGGACGTCGAGTATCCTGAAAATCTGGGAGGTAGGATGGGGATCGAGATGTGGCTGATCGGTGGGGGGAGGTGGGGCGTAGGAGGGGCCAGAAAGAGGGTGGGAAGAGGCTCCGGCTGCAGGGGGAGGATAGTGATACCTCGATGATGATGGTGGGGGGTGGTGATGCGGTGGGGGATGGGGAGGGCGCTGAGGAGGAGGAAGAGGAGGGGGAGGAGGAGGAGGACGGGCAGTTTGATCTGGACTGGGATGAATTTTTGAGGAACCCAAGTGCTTTTGTTATGGAAGCGGGGCAGGTGGTGGCTCGGGAGGAGGGGGGTGGGGATGAGACGGAAGAGGATGTGGGGGATGGGGATATGGAGATGGCGGATGAGTATGATGACGAAGACCAGGATGAGGAAGAGGAGGAGGACGATATCACCTTTCTAATGGGCGGTCTGCAGGTTGGTCAGGCTCCGGATGGTTACCAGCAGGTCACTCAACAGATGGCCGAGGTGCAGGGCACCAACGGGCTTGACCTCGCCCAGTACGTGGTGGATGAAGATGTCGGCGAGGATGCTCGCACGAAGAAGTTGAGGGATTGGTTCCGGCCGTGGTAGATGAATTGGCTGGTTCAAAGTATTTCAATAGGTCAACTGGTATCTGAGGGCGTCAGGGAAAAGGATGTCCGTTTCCGTTTGGGCATTGGGGCGTAAGGTTGGTGGCTGACGGTTGGTTTTCGTTTGGGTGTTATTGGTTGGTAGACCACCGCCATCGGTTGTACTTTTCAATAATTAATCCGTAGGAGGAATCGCTGCACCATATCCCGGCGTTGAATCTGGTTCCTGCTTACGTACTTTCTGAATTCTGTTTGCCTTGTGACAGTTGTGTGACATCGGGTGAGTGGTACTGCTGAGACACGAGCTGAGAGGAAGTCGATAACGTAGCAAATCTCCCCCGTATGCAGCAGGATCGATCACAAGGTCAAATATAAGTGTTATTAAAACATATCGCCACCTCACCGTATTCGTGGGGCGTCCGCTCAATGATAGGCCGGCAGAAAGAAGGAAGTGACACACGCAGTGCTAGAGCGTCGAAGCGAGTCCAACACAACAACAATTTGGAGTCGCCATGCTCTTGCCCTCCCCGTATCAACCCACGTTCGGTACCCAGCACGATCTTCCTTGAGGAATGGATAGACACAACACAGTCTGTAGACGGGATCCTAGCTCAGGGATAGATTGGGGGAATCCTGATAGTAGGGGACCAAGGATATGTGACAGTCGACTCGGGCGTATAGAGACAAAATTGAAGAATAAAAAGTTGAAATAACTTTAAACACATCAACGTCAACGAGAAAAATAATGACCTCCCCCCCTTCCAGTCCGAAACCAACACCCCTTCGCCCCCTGATGTTCCGCTTTACTCCCGCTGACCGACCCCCCCTTCCAACACACTTTTTGTCCTCGAAAAGAAAAGACCTCAATCTGGAGCATACTAGTTGAAGATATGAGGAAACGGGAAAAGAAAAGGAAAAATAGAAAAGAGGACAAGATTAACACACAGAAATAGGGCAAAGGCATATAATCCCAGCCGCCGTTTACGAGCACCAAAGGCCGGATATAACCTCTTGTACACTCCCTCGCTATGCACGCCTCTCCCCCCCTTTTCCCACGCGCCCGCCCCGACCCTGAACCAGCCTAGCCCATGCCCGACTCAATTGAATCTGCCCATTGTTGCGAATTTCGAAGTTGACGAGAATTGGAAACAACCGTATGTGTGTATGAGTAACCTGGGCGATTGAGGATACCGCGAACACTTCCCAGATCCCCCTTTGTGACCCGTGCCGAAAAGAGAGAGCCAGTACAATGCGTTGTCGGCTCGAGAAAAACTCCGCCCTGAGGGGACCCTGTAAGAATGGCATGTTCTTTTTGTCTTTCCAGCCCTTTGTACTTTTTTTGATCCCGCCGTCCATCCGCCGCCGCCCCGCCGCCGCACAAACCCGTAAGTGACCGACCGCCAGTATCGCTCCCAAAAGCCCATTACCCGCACCCGCACCATGATGATGAAACAGATGAAACTTGCCGCAGTTATTGCCAAGGCCCACACGATCCTCTATCCCTCGTTCCCAAATTTGCTGAAAGAAGAAAAGCCACGCGTGAAAGAGCAGACGAAAGCTTTGGCAGCTTTTGAGCAAATGGATCGTTCCTACCATCCGGCGACGGACGAGGATGCTGCGGCCGGCGCTTATGCGGGCGACTTGCTCTGGGGTGCGCCGCTCGCGTTCTGGCGGGCATCCTGGTTGCTGACCGTAAGGCTGCCGATCCCGGTCGTTAGGAAACCGAACGGGTCGCTCTCGCCCTGCGAGTAGAAGTTGTTGTTTGGACCAGCAGATGCGGGGCCGTTGCCCGCGGACTGGAAGGCCGCCTCCGCCGCGCGGCTGTCAAAAGGTCCGGCGGAGTGGGAGCCCGGAGCAGGGCCGAAGTGGGTGTTGAGAGGAGGGTAAGGCGCAGCACCGCCGCCCAAACCGGATGGCAGAGCGTAGGTGCTCGGGGGGCCACCAAAGTGCTGACCATATCCAGCACCAGAGTTAAAGCTACCGGCACCAGAACCGAAGGGGCCAGGGCCAGGGCCGGGCCCGGGCCCGGGTCCAGCGCCGGGGTTACCGCCCATTGAGCCTTGTCCCATACCGTACGACGAAGGAGCGTCCATTGGGGAGGGGTAGCCCGAGTCGGCAACCACAGCAGCGCCAGCACGGCTGGCTCCACAACGGAGGCAGCAAACATTCTTTGCGAAGTTGTGGTAACCGCAAACCTCGTTACCACACTTCCAGTCACCGGCGCGGAAGGGGACAACGCCAGAGCCGCCCATGCGTCCATGGCCACCACCACCGCCATGGCCGTGATGACCCATGTGAGGAGGAGGGGGCATCATGGCCGGGGGCGCATAACCATAACCATAGCCCATCTCGCCGGCGGGCCCCGGAGTGACAGCAGGGTACGAGCAACGGAAGCATGCGGTGCGGCGCTGGAAGTTGGAAAAGCCGCAAGACGGGCACGTCCAGTCGCCGGGGCGAGGCCGATTCTTGCTCGGCGGGAAGGGAGTGAGGATCTCGGCGGCGCGGTCCAGCACTCTACTGGATGACGGGGACACCTCAATCGCCTTTTCATTCAGGGCACGCCCATTCATGCACAGGCTTTCGGCAGCCTACATACAGTTAGTGGTCTGGCTGGCCGCTGGCGTTTGACACGCCCTAGGGAGGACGCAACGGGTCAATGGAGGTAAGGGAAGTCTAACCTCTTCGTGGGATGAAAAGACAGCGAAGCCGGTGCCGGTGGGCTTGTGCTGCTCCGGCGTGCGCAAAGTCCAGAACGCAATAGGACGACCACCGAACTGGGTGAACCAGCTCTCGAGCTCCGATTGGGTAGTGTCGTGGGGCAGACCGGACATGTGCAGAACCTTGCTGCGCTCCGAAAGGAAAGCGCGGACATCGGCACGGGCATCCATGGGCCTAGTAAGCACATCCGGGTGCTCATGCGGCGGCTGCGACTTCCGAATCAGACCACGGAGAACGCGGGCAAGGGTCACAGCCTCCTCCATAGCACGGCGAGGCGACGCCGGCGCCAGGGCCTGCAGGTGGAAGGGCAGGTTGTGCTTGATGGGGGCACTGGTTTGGACGGCCTCGACCTCCAGGGCGGCGCAGATATTAGTCAACAACGACGGCCCGAAGGGCAGTGACTCGGGGTGGTGCTGCTGCCACCGCTGGTATTCGGTACGGAGCTCAAAGGCCCGAGAATGTTGCAGATAAGGGGGAAGCACAACGGATTTATCCCGAGCCTCACGGGGAAGCTGCACCCGCAGGTCCCAGGCCTCCAGGGTGACGAAGACGAAGTCGAGGTTCTGCGAGGTCAGGTGTTCGGAGGCGAAGGCATCAAAGCGGTTAACGGCGTCTCGGAAGGTGCCGGCATTCCGAACATGTTCCCAGGTGAGGGTGGTCAAGCTCGCTGGCAGCAGAAATTGGTCAGCAACGAGAGGTCGGTGTAGGGTATAGGGTGTATAGCGCAGGCAAGGGAATTGGGTGTCGAGGAGGCCTCGGTTGTCACAGCGGCAGGTCAGGACTCACTGCAGAGGGGAGTGATGGGGGTGTTGACGGGCTTCACAAGGACGCTCTCGCGGTGAAGCTGATAACAAGAGCTGGTTAGAAACGGACAGGTTCTTTTGTTGAATTTTCAGGGGTTGGCTTGGCCCACCTCTTCCAGCGTGTTTGCGTCCAGCAGGATCCAGCCAAGCTCGATGACCTCGGCCGAGTCCTTAGTTACGTAGACGCCGTGTTCATCGCAGGTTGTAGCAACATGGACGACGACGTATCGGTCGACCTTGAAGGGGGGGTTCTGTTGAGTCGCCATGGCTGCGTGTTCGGAGCAGCGGTCGAGTTCGAGAGCCGAACTCGTTCGAGGGTCGAAAGGGAGATGATGCGGCTATCCGAAGATGCTGCCTGGCAATGGCAAAACGCGTGTTAGCCAAATCGAGTCCAAGATTTCAGGAGCGGTGTCGGCGGTAGCGCATACCTTTTGTCGCCCGGTGGACGTCCGCAACAAACAGCGGGTTTTCGGGAAAATGAAGCAGGAAAGGTCCACGGTTTACCGAGTCCACCCTGACAACCAACCTAGTAAGGGAATTGCGGAGCTGAGCACGGTCCGAGTCCTAGCTTCGTACCTGCGGCAGGAGCAGACTGTGCGGAACAACGAATAAAAATGCAGGGCTCCCACAACCACGCAGACCCAGATACGGTGCACGCGTCCTTGAAGAGGTGATCGATTGAAGCTCGCGCCCCTTTCTCGAGCACTAGGAAAGGGTGGAGACAGGAGGAAGATGAGAGAGTGGTGTGGAGGGCGGAGGGCGGAAAGGGGAAACCGAAGGTGAGGAGACGCGCAAGAGGGAAAAAATGGTAGGCAAGTTTCCAGTTGAGGTGGACTGCTTCAACTGCCCACTCCAGTGGTCGCTGGACCGCGGCCACATCTCCATCCCGAACAATTGGTCTTACTGACCCGAGAAAAGAGGACTCCGTACCGCTGAGAATTGGCCCTAGCAGCGCTGCAAAACTGGTTTTCGCTGGGCGCCTTATTTTACTGTTTTCAACCCAACTAAATCTCCAAGGTCGCGGCGGTATTTTTTTTTTATTACTGCAGACTTCCACTGGGCATGTCATTGCTGCGCCGTCTCCCGTTGCGGCCGGTGGGTGCCGGAGCATAAGCGCAGTATGTGGCCCGTGCCATGCGCCTTTGGAGCCCCCAAGAATGATTATGACTGCAGATGCAGCTGCGAACAGCAAACCGGCTCCTAGCCGCGAAGGATAGGTACGGTGTCTGCTCAGCTGGAACTTTGATTACCAATGGAAGTCATTATTGACCACGTCCTTTGCCGAGCACGCCGAGGCATTCTCTCACTCAATACCATTCGATATCTGGTATCCGTATCAGGGGCTTTCCACTTCATGTTCCACCTTTTTCTGACGTCCTTGTCATCCATTGGCTGCCCGAACTTAACCGTCAAATGGACCAAATCCATTCCCATTCCATCTTGCACAATGAAGCCCATCACTGACTCTCGTCCCAGCCATCGCTTATTGCCCAACACTAATCAGCCTGTCGGATAACCGGGTGCCTATTGGCAATTATGTACATGTCGAGAGTCTCCTCTATAACTACATGCATCGGTCAAGAAATCAGTCGAAAATGGCACGCTCGTTGAACAGCCGCTGTTTCGGAACTTGCCAAGCGAGAGGTAACTATCGAAAATGATCATAATCCATGCTCTCATGTCAATATGTCAATATGGTTGCAACACCGTTGGCGGCCCCTTTTATCGGGGCGAGGCATCCTTCCGGGCCTTTCCCTCGGCGTGGGGCGCGCATCCCGGCGCCGGAAGTGCTTCCGAGAGAACTGCGACCCTTGGGATTGGAATATGGTGTGGGGCGCAGGCATGGCTGCCAGGACATGGTGGCTTACTAGAGGTATTCAACTACTTTGTACACATAAATACGTCCGAAATATGCGTGATATCAATGTATAAAAACCCCTGACGAATGAAGCATAGTACTATTTTGCTCATTTTAAGCGTGATGAGATTCCACGGTTGATCTTTCGAGTTGTTGTTCAATGTTTTTAACCATCGTGGATCTTGCCAACGAGCCCCAATCATAGGTTTTCATACCAAAATACGAGTAGAGTGAGCATCATTCTTCTTTGTCCGTTTACTTTCACAAAAGCGCGCTAGCAACGAGGCAGTATGCCTAGGTAGATATACATAGGACGAGATAAGACCTAAAACTTGAGGTGCTGGATGAAATGTGATAGTGCTCCTGGGGTGTAGCTGGTCCGTGCACCAACTACGTCATCGCACTTGCCGTTCATGAAGATGACGATGACCTAAGATTCAAAGATGAACATTCAGGCAGGGACAACTTCAAGTGAGTTAGGAAAAGCAATCACTAGGGATTTTTACTTTTTCAACATAAACACACAAAAATGGCCGTCAGAAACCGAAATGACAAGATGGACGGTGCCGCAGGAATCTTGGTGGCACTCCTTAGCCTCCTCTGTTAGTCTTGAGACCCCTGGTCGCCTCTCATCATGCAGCACACCCGAACCAAACTGACGGGCCACAGTCCCTCCATTTTCAGTCTTCCTCTTAGCCGGTTGCGGCCCAGACCTGCTGATAAATATAGTCCTTACTATTTGGATGTATGTGTCTCACTCTTGTCAAGGAGCCAAAGAGTTGTTCAAGCTAACCACGCGGGCTCGACACTCGTAGTTGGTTTCCCGGAGTTATCCATGCGTTATACCTCCTTGCCGTCTACTACGACCGCCGGGACAAGCACAAATTTGGTGTCAGGCCCGTAAAGCGGATGCCCTTTATATTCAGCGACAAGGTGCAGTCTGGCGGTGCCACCCCGATTTGGAGGAGATGATGGGTTGGACAGTTGGCTTGTCGTGGTGAGGGGCTACTGGATGTGATGAGGGGTTCATGTGATAGGAAAATGATTGGTGTCACGAAAACATTAAGGTATACACAACTGAGTCGAAGGATAAACAACCCCCCAAGTACCTATCCTAGTCAGATGGTTCGGTTGTGATGAGGTATGGAATAGGTGCATCAACTCAAAATCCAGCTGGATGGCATGAGAGCCGCTTTTCCCCGAGTATGCAGGGATCAGAGCTTGAGGATGTGGCGCTTGTTTCAAATTTAGAGTGTGTGTGGGTTGTGAAGCAGGAAGACCGGTACACAGAAGAGATCTCCTCAGTTCCCGGCTCGTCCAGGGAAGAAGTGAGGTTGGTTCTGGAAGAAGTTAAAATGATAAATGCCCAGGCTTGCCAGGTCCAGCACTTGGCGGGGAAGCAAGCTGTGGTGGGCCATTTTGGCCCCGCCTCCAGACCCCTGCTCGTTCACTGCAAGTGGCCTGCCACCAGGCCTCTGAACGACAGCCACGCCTGCCTGCAGAACGCGAAGCTGCTCTCAGCCAATGGCGGCGGGCCCAAACTCTGTGCTCTCTCTGATCTACCAACCAGTCACGATGGCCTGGAAGGACGTGACGGAATAGACACAGCAGAACCGGAGCGGAGATTGTGCACCCGCCAATCTGACGATTGCAGTGCGCATGCGAGCGACATTATTCTTTAGCGATCGAATCGAATCATCAAATCACCAATCGAGGAATTCGAGCTGTGTAGACGAGAGGGAACACAGGGCGGCCCGAGGGTAGGAAATGCTTCGGAGTTTGAGACGAACGGCGCACCAAAACCCGCAACGCAAACACATTCTGAATCTGGGAACTGCGGGACGCGAGACGCAGGACGCAGGACGCAGGCACAATTAGTGGAACCGACTTGGTGGTCCATAACCAGACAACCACGTCAACGCCCCCCAACATCAAACGCCGCCCGGCTCGATACGCACAACACCCTGGACAGCCAGGAACTGACATGCCGCCCACGCCTGGCTGATCCCGCTCCTATTGCTGCCGGTGCCGGTGCCGCTACTGCTGCTGCTGCTCTTGCTGCTGCTGCTTCTACTGCCGTTCTCGTACCGTCCGTCTCCGCGAACACGTCGTCCCCATCCATTGACCCACTGCATTGACCCCTCAACGGGGCCCCTTGACGCTTCTGCCCGTCGTCCGGGTCTCACGGGTCGTCACTATTGCCCGCTCGAACCGCGTGTTGCTGGGCCCTCCTGTTGCTGGGCCCTCCTGTTGCTGGGCCCTCCTGTTGCTGGTTCCTCCTCCTCCTCTTCCTCCGATTGCTACCACGACACGTCTGCATGGTGCGACCCCTACCCGTGCTGCTTGTCTATGCTGCATCGGCCTCGCCCGCTTGCCATGTATATATCCAATAAGCCACCCGCCCCTCGCCCGATGGCCTCCGAGTCTGCAGATGTCGATGCTGCGGACGCTGCCAACGCAGAGCTGGCCTCTTCATGCCGCCGCAGGGACCAAGACGACTGCTCGCCACCCCCTGGTCCCACTCTTCATACCCATGGGCCCTCCCCTTCTTCGTCCTCCAACCCTCCGTCCTCCTCGACCGGGCCACTTCCTGAAGACTCGTCTAAGCTGAGACGGACTTCCTTCCCTGTCTCGTTCCCGCCCATCTTCTTCCAGCGAAGCAAGGTTCCGTCGGCATCACTCGCCGCATCCACTGCTGAGGGCAGGCCCATTCCGCTCACGGATCCCGCCAACACTAACCACACATCCGCCTTGCAGAAGCTGAACAGCAAGTACCCGTCGGCAGGACGGCGCCACTGCTACACCCCCGAAGCGTCTGTTGCCCGGAGCAGCACTTACTCACAGCCCGTTCTCGTGCGTACTTACAGCGGACCCTCGCCGTCCCAAGGCTCTCGTAGCACCAAGTCACCGCAACACAGACCCTCGAGCAGCAGCCGAGGAGCCTCCAGACGCGTCCCTTTACCGTCAGCTTCAACACCGGGCAGCGGCGGGCCAGGCCGACCCATCCAGCCCACGCTAAGCGACGTTGGCGTCGGTACTACCAGCAGTTCTGGTTCCGGCACACACGAACTCAACATAGGGACCTACGAAAGCAATGCTCAAGGAGTGAACATGTCACGACCCTACAAAGCCAAGAAGGCCGCCAACAACATCACGACGGCGACCACCACCACCAGCAAGCTACCCTTGCCATGGCCATGGCCGCTCTCCTCACGCCAGGAGCCCGAGGAACCGAAACTGCCCCCATTGGAAGCCTTTTCGTTCAAAAGCTTCATGGCTGATCTAGAGACCCGCGGAAGCGACAGCAACATCGGGGCGGACTTGGATCGTATAGCCGAGATCTGCGCTCGCTCACGGTACTCCCTAAGCAACCAGTACGAGGTCCATGTGGCGCCCCACGGTTCTGGTGCTTCGTTCACGCCAGGCGCACCTCCCTCTTCTGTCCCACGGAGTCGAAAAGGTCACGGCCACAGCCGCGTCCCAAGCCATGGTCATGGCATTGCCGGCCCGACGCTACAAGCCATCACGTCGGACGACGAGAATATCGCCCGATCCTCCAATTCTAGGAGGAGGAGCGGAGCTGCCAAGCGGCGGAGTGCCGCCTACGGTACCCTGGAAACTATCATGTCCTCAAGCCGGTCATCCGAGGAGGACAAGTCCAAGAAAAAGTCCGCGGCCGAGCTAGTCGGCGAGGTGCGAGGGAGAGCAGCCAGGAAAGCGTGGGATAACCCAAGCGCATCAGGATCATCAGCAGCCATGCCTACCGGAAACAGTGGTAGTGCCGCGGATACCCCTCCAGGACACCCACTGCAACAACAGCAGGACCCAGACCCAGCCTCCACCACCGCCGACGCCACCACCATCAACAAGCTAGCCCGCAAAAAGTCCGCCTCCTTCGCCACCGCCATCATGGACACCCGCAACGGCCGCAGCGCCGCAGCGAAAAAGGCCGGTTCCTCCTCCTCGTCCGATCAACAAAGCAAAAACAAGAAAACACGGAAAAAGAAAGAGGACGAGGAGACGGGCGCTAAACCCGCCTCGGCCCTGCTCAGTGAACCGGCCCAGCCCCAGACATCGGGGAGCCACCTAGGCGTGAGGACTTCTCGCAGCGGCGGCGATCGTCGGACGTCCGTGTCTAGCACGGGAGAGCGGGGCGGCCGCGCGGTAGACCTGGAGGCTACGGGGGGGGGTTGCCGCATCTTCATTACCAACAGCAGTTTCCGGCTGTTGTTACCGCCGCTGCTTCTGGGGGTGGGGGTGGTGGTGGGCGCGGGGGCTACTCGTCGTGGGGCGCATGGATCCCCTGGCGGGCGGGGCAGGCGCAGCAGGGGTCGGGGGGTGGTGGTGCTGCGGTGGGAAGCCATGCTGAAGGGAGTTTGAGGCAGTTGTTGAGGAATGGTGGGGATGGGCTGGCGGAGAGGGGGGTGAGTAGGGTGTGAGGTGGAGGTAGTTGGCTGTTGGCTTGCGTGCCATACCATGAGTGGTCACAACTGGTGCGCCTGGGGCGGGCCGAGGACTAACTTTGATGACCAGGTTTATGAGGGATGGCTTTTATGAAGGAAATGGGTTGGGAGGGGGGTAAGGATACTCGGCAGGTGCCGAAGGCGAATAACTAGAGTGGACGAACAGAACACCGGAGTAGCTGGGGCGGGATACCTAGTATGATCATCTCAGCTATGGGATCTGATACGCGATACCTATGGGGGACAGTCACCCCCTATGTCCCAAGAATGGCGGTTATCATGCACTCGGGCAGTGGGAAGACCGACTTTTGGCTGAGCCGGATTAGATTGACGGTTGTGGAACAGCCAAATCAGAAGTTGTGACTTGTATTTTAAACGTAGTACAATTGTATGACTTTGTCGTCCTCGGTTGGTGTCCCTGTGTTCCAGGACAAGATGCCGAGGAGGTTGGCCGAGATCTCGGCCCGCTCTGAACCGTCTGCCTTGTTTGCTCCCTCTTACACCCATGTACTGGACCACGTTGCCTTGACCTTGACGAACCAACGGCGCAACCGCATCAATGATGGCCGAACCATTGAGCAACTACAAAACCACGCTTGCAGCCATTACCCAACCGGGCCAGTGATCGTGATCGGGCTGCAACGTTTCTACTCAAGCGATTGCCTCGTGATGCCAACACACCCAGGCTGAAGATCCGAGCATATCTACGCATCATCTATATGTAATCTGCCTATTTAAGAAAGCCCTTTGCTACGTAGGTTGCTTCTAGACTCACCCGGGAGCAAACTGTCCGCGATGGTGTCAATCTGCGAAGCATCCGACAGAAGCGTCATTACCAATGTCACAAAGAGAGATGCCGGGAAGTGCTGCATCACGGCCCGGGGCATGCCGAGCTCATTCTGTGATCTTTTGGTTGTCATGCTCATCCAGCCAAGGATGAAACTTGTCGCTGCAGGTATCCATATTGTAACCATCATAGGTATCACACGACCAGCCTGTTAACATTATCCGAGGTGCTGATGACTGACTGTTACCCCTATCCTAAAGCCCCGCCGCGGAGCGCTTGGGACCTTCCTCATACCGGAGTTGAGTGATTGGCTGCTCTCTGATACCGAAGAGGAGTTATACAATCGTGTTAGGAATCGTCAGCTCCTTCGTAAATCTGCTGCTGATAGAATTCAACCCTTTTTTTTCGTCGAGAAACTCTCGACTTTTAACCAGTCTAGTTGAAAAAGCAAAAGCTCACCGGCTGGCCCCCTTCGCGGTCGAAGAAAGGTAGCCGGCTACGAAACCCCTAGGGGGTTTACTTCGTGCCCAGTTGCAGCCCGGTGATGCCCCGTCGGGCCGATGCGGGCTGCGTATTTATTTCTGAAGTGGAGGACTCTATCGGCGGCCCGATACCTCCCAGAGGGACCCACGGTAGCATCATGATTCGAACCAAGAGCCTCCCCTTACGGCCGGGATATTGAGGACGGTGAACTAGCTGGCCCGGGGGCCGAGGGCCACCGCCTAACCGCTGAGCTACCCAGCTAGGTGGTGGTCCTCGTTGGAAGCTAGCGGCGCAAACCTTCCTTATATTGTACGGGCAGCTTCGTTTTGTGATTTGGATGTTTGGCCACTGTGCTTTGTAGGGATTTTCAAGATGCTCACAACGAAAATCTCCCATTGTTTGAAAACAATAGAACTCGGCGGTCGGCCCTTGTATTCAAACAAAACAACCTAAAGCATCAAGAGTTAAATCACAGTCTTGGTAGCAACGTCATCAATGCGATCAAATCAACATTTCTGAACTGCGAGGAAACGCGCTTCGAGCTACAATATACACTTTTCCGAGCTGATTTTGGGATGATGACTCAACACGCCCCGAGCGTGGTTAGTATAGCCCCGGGCACGTTCAATGTTATTAGAGTTTGTCGAAAAGAGAAGTATAGGTTCAGAGGTAGGAAGCTGCCCATACATAACATTCATTGTAAAAGATGTAGAGCAGCGGAGATTTTGAGCCACTTTCTAGTTCATACCAGAATACCACAGACAGCTCGGCAAGGTGGGCTAACACGACTCAGTCTCTGTGGTCGCTAGCTAATCATGAATACCGCGTGGCCTTAGGCGATACTTGTATATATTAAATGTTTTGCTAGGTAGATGCGAGGCTGACTAGGTACCCATTACCGTGTCTTGGCCCCCTCCGGGCGGTAGGGAAATCACTCGACTCCAGTTACGATCGAACCATAACTTGGATTTATTCCCCCAGTTTTTATTCAGAGCTGCCCTTGGCTTGGTACGCTAGAGTGTGCAAGACAAGCAGCCATGAGATTACCCAGTCCCGATTGGCCTGTCGCTATGCCTGCCCATCGCCCATGCTTGTAAAAAAGGACCACGACCTATGGTCGATAACAGAGAGTGGTCGTACATAAATAATCCTTTCATCACGTCACCGCCCTTTCTTCGCGTAAGAAAGCCTACCCAGCCTTCTGCCCCTTCCCGTTAGCATCGATATGCGGGCGCTTAGCCTCCCGTGGGGCATCACCGCCTTCGTTTGGTCGCTTCCGCTCCCTGTCACGGGTGCTGCCGCTTTCGGGCGCCTCCTCTTTCGCCCCGGACTGCTGCTGTGCGGCACGTGCGCGCTCCTTTTCCTTCTTTTCCTTCTCGCGCCGGAGTGCTTTTGACTCGAGCTCATGCCACTCGCCGCCGATGTCTTTGAGTCTGTAGTCGCGTACGTTAGCACTAGGTGTGAAGTCCTTGGGGAATGAGGGTGGCTTACTCAATCGCCTGCCGCGCGGCGGGCTCCTCCGAAACGAAGTACGGGTGCTTCAGAACCTCGGCGGCGGTAGGTCGTTTATCCGGGTCATAACAGAACATGGACGTGAGGAGATCAAAGGCGGCTGGGGTCAGCTGGTCCTTGTACTTTTCCGCAAAGACGTTTGGTTTACGGTAGGTGGGCCGGAGGAGCGCGAACCAGGGCATCTCGACCAGGTTCGGCCAGTCTTTCCTGTTGGGAGTTCCAAGCACCGCGTGGATCTTCTCCAGTTGGTTGATCTCGCTCCCGTCGCCTGGGAAGATGGCTCGCTTGGTGAAGATCTCCACGAGGACGCATGCGGCGCTCCAGATATCCACTGCCGGGCCGTACTGCGTTTCACCCAGCAACAGCTCTGGCGACCGATACCAGATGGTTATGACTCGGTTGGTGTAGTCTAACTGGTGGTGTTTGGCATAAAAGCGGGCCAAGCCGAAGTCAGCAAGCTTGAGGATACCCTCGTTACTGACGAGGATGTTGGCAGCTTTGATGTCGCGGTGCAAGACGCCCCTCGTGTGGAGATAGTCTAGTCCTTCAAAAAGTTGCCGGGCCAGGTGCTTTTTATGTCCCGGCTCCAGGGTGTACGTCGGGTGGTTGAGGAGGCCCGTCAAGTCGTGCGACAAGTACTCAAACACCATGAAGCAGTCGTTGGATTCGACCATGACCTCTTGGAGTTGGACGATGTTCTTATGGCCGAGCGAGCGGAGCAATTTGATCTCTCGAACGGCCGTTACTGGGAAGCCGTCTCTCTCACCCTCCATCCGAATCTTCTTGAGAGCTACCAACTTCTTGGTGTAGACGTTCAGCCCCTTGAAGACCTTGCCATACGTGCCTGAGCCCACGACGGATTCGTTGCCCGGTTTTCTGAAGAAGACGGATTTGGATGCCGCCAAGTCAGCCGGAAGGGTAGGCTTCTCTTTGCGACGCTTCACAATCTTCTTCACTTTCCGTGTCCGCGGCGTCGGGTCGGGCTGTCTCGCTGGTTCGGTCGCTCTGCGGTCGCTGGGGCCGGTGGGGACACCGGGACGGGGTCGTGCCGACGCTGGCTCGGTCGGAGCGTTCTTAGGGAAACCACGGTCTCGGTCACGCTCCCGGTCCCTCTCCGGTCTCGTGGGTGGCGCTTTTTGGGCTGCGGGCTTGGTCGGGGGATCGCGCGACGCTGGGGCAGCATTGAATTTCGACGATATCTCGGGTCTCGGCGCCGCCACTGCTGGTTTTGCCGCGTTTTTCATGCTAAAACTAAACTTATTAGGTGTCGTGGATTGCGGCCCGGTGGGGGGCGCTCGGCCGAGAGCTGGTGTCTTGTCTTCTTTTGACTCCCCTTCCTTGCTGGTATCCTCCACTTGTAGGTCTTTGGAGGGCCTAAAGGGGTTGTCACTGTTTGCCGCTGAGGCATTGCCCTTCTCCACTGGAGCCTCCGTATGGTTGACGGGAGACCGATGTGTAGTGGCATGGGAGGGATCTGAACCCTCGGCTGGGTCGGGCTGGCCACGACCATCGTTGCCTTGGGGATGCCATTGTGTACTTTTAAAGCCGCCTCGGAGGCCCCCACGAGCGGAGAACTGACTGCCACGAAACGACCCGCCTCTGTGGCTTCCGCGGTAGGGCCCCGAGGGGTATTGGGCGGCGGGCCCCGTCGGCGCATAAGGAGGAGATTGTGCCTGGCCTGAGTGGTAATGTCCTTGGGGACCCGTGGGAGGCCCGTAATTGTTGTGGGGATATGTTGGTGAAAATTGACCCCTGTATCTTGTTAATCAATGAAAGTTCACACAGAAGACGCACGCGGTGAGGCTGAACTTACCCTTGAGGGGAAAACTGCGGTTGGTTGTTCCAGCCCCGCCCGTTGCCACCGTAAGGCGACTGGGCCGTTGGGGAGCCGTGGAATGACGAAACGGGGGTTCCATGGCCCGATGACTGACCATAGCTGCGGGCATCATATTGGCCCTTCGGATAGCCGCCTTGAGGGTTAAACCCTCCACGGTAGCCACCTCGAGCACCCATATTCACCTCGATGCTGTTGGCACCGGAAGTAGGGTCAAAACTCTTGGACGAGCGCGACGGCTCACGGCTGTCCCTTCCCCTCTTGGTCGACTGAGGGCGGCGGTTCTCACGGGGTGATTCGGACGGAGCCGGTCCGCGTATAGCGTGGGATTGGCCCTGGTCCGCACTTCCTCTGCGGCGTGACCCCGTGTCGGACAAAGGCGGTGGCCGAGTGTCCGCTGGGCCGGTTTTGCGGGGGTTGCGGCGGCGTGATCTTGATCGATTTCTGGGGTCAGGGTGAGGTGATTGGTGCCGATGCCTAGGAGACCTCGTCCTATTGCGGGATTCCCCCTCGGGACGCTGTCGGAAGGGCCGGCTGTTACGAGGCGACCGAGATCTATGACGGCGCGGAGGACTTGGAGATCTAGACCGGCCGGACCGCCTGCTAGGTTTTGGAGCCTGGTCGCGAGATTCGGGAGAACGCGGCCGGCGTGGGTGGGGGGACAAGCCTCGGTTGACGTTGGCTTGCTGATTTTTCGGCGGTGGTACGCCCCTCTCTGGACCTGCTTGATTGATACTATCTTGCCGGACCTTCTTCGGTTGCGACGCACGATCGAACGACGGGCTGGGGCTGCGTCGGCGCTTACTTGGGACGGGCGACCGCGATGCACGGCGTCGGATGCGGTCGTCTGGACGCCCTTGGACTTCCTTCCTCGGCCCGGGCGACCTGTGGTCTGGGGGACGGCGATCCGGTGAAGCGCGAGGCTCGCGGCGGCGAGTAGGTTCGGGTGAACGGCCGCGGCGGCCGCGTGGCGAACGATGGGATGGCTCGAACGAGTGATCACTACGGCGGTTGGGACTGCGGGCCTGGTCGCGACGCCGGCGTTGGGTATCCTGCTGCGGCGGCTCGACCGACCGGCCTCGTGAACGCTGCGGTAGAGGAATAGGCCCGGAGGGATGATGCTTCCGGGCTCGGTCTCGCTCCCTGGTAGAGTCTGACGTCCGGTTCACGGCAACAGCGGCGGGCGAGATGGATCTTCGTGAAGTAGTCATGCCGAGGTCATTCCCGTCCTGACGGCGGTGTTGGTTATCCCGGTGGCTATTACTGCCATTTGGTGATGCAGCGTTGTCTCGGCGCTGATGGTGTGCAAAGCGGTCGTCCACAGGTGCGAGATTCGACATTTGAGTTTTAGTTGGTCGGGGCGGCGAATGACAGGGGTTGCCGTTCGCGGGTTGGCCGCTGTGGGAACGCTGGACGCGTGCTGACGAGCCTGGGCCAAACCGCCTGTTGCGGGCCTGCGGAGGGGCGGGGCAACCAGCCGGCTGCAACATGAAATGCCTGCCCATCTTGGCGAGAGGTCCCGGGCCAGTATGCATCATGGACAATCGACCTTCGAAAAGATCCAGCTCAATCGCGCCAAAAAGCAGCAAGCCCAAGATAAGTAACACGCGCGGGATCCTAACGGCAGGAAAGGGCGGCATGCAGGTTAGAAATACACCAAATGGGCTCGTCGCAGGGTGTGAGTGCCCGGGTCTCTTTTCGTCGCTCGCAGGGCTGTTGCGATGGGACCGATGCGAGGAGGACTTTTGACAGCAGGCCGTGGTCAATGGGTAGGCAGGTCGCTCCACGGCAAAGCTCGACCACCGAATATGCTCGAAGTCGTCAAACCCTTTCACCCCGCCTGTCGTAGGTAGGTTCTGATGGCAAACCGATTGTCGATCCGAGTGCTGCTCGACTGCCCGATGCTGAGGATGCAGAGGTGCGAAACCCCCACCACACAACCCAACAGTCTGCAAAATGAACAACAGCCTGTTCAGTCATGTCGAACGGGGCAGTCCGTTATCAGATCAGAGCCGCTAGCCGACCCGGTCATTGTTGTGCAGCCCCGGGCATCCGCTGCTGCCCAAAACCTGCTGAGCATTTGCTTGCCTTGAGCTTCGACAGCCCCAGGACAACCAAACCGTCCCAAATGGCCCCCATCAAAGGAGCAGAATGCCGCGAGCAGCTCATCCATCCAAGTCGGCTCCTCCGACCATCCCGCCCACGATCTAGCCAGCCACAAGCCAAAGGTCGAACCGACCAAAGGCTTGCAAACACTTGATCACCAAGCAGAGACCACTATATACGGCAAGATATGCTTTACGAGTGCAGCCCAAAGAAAAGAAACCCAACCCACCTGGCATAGCAACGCCAGTCCTGTCCGGGTACCGCGGGAACCGGGTCAGGTTCCCAGGATCCTGTTAGGTAATGCGGTTGGCCGCTGTCTGGCCATTTCCCACACTTCATCACACTTCCTGATACGAAGATAACCAAGGCAGTTTCCCATATGCATGACCTTGGGTGCCCTCGGGAATTTGTTGTTGAGTCCCGGACAGGAGTTCCAGTCATCTGGGGTTGGAAACCGCATCGAGCGCCGGTGCTGTAGGCCGCGCTGTTTCCAAGCCCCCTCCCGAACGCCGGTATCCAAGAGCAGCGAGGGCCGCCATGCAGAGACACACAAGGCTTTGGATGAAATCGGCGTCCCTCCCCGCAGGTATAGGATGTCGGGATATGATGTGTGGGTACCAAGGAAAAGACCGAGCCTTTTGTCCAACGCTATTGTGTTGCATTCCGAAAGCGCAGCGACCAACTCCCATCCATTCCTATGTCGCATCTGTGCGGCGAACCAAGGCGGTATGTGTGGGAACCGAGGATTGTGACGAGATATCTCATATGGCGAACATCGATGGCGCTGGGCAGTTGGCGATTCGACGGATTCTCCGGTTCAGCGAGTGGGTGGCCAACAAAGTTGTTGCCATGTTGTGAATTAACCAACTGCTCATTACCAAGAAAGTCAAAGCCGCCTTCATATCAGCTTTCATCTCAGCCTTGGGTTTTCATCGCGCTAATCTGATGTTGTTCCAGAGGGGAACGACGCCGACCGCTGACTGCTTTGCAGGCGAGCCCCGCAGGTGGCAGCTCAAACGGCGCACCCATTGCCGACAAAAAAAAAAACTCAAACAGAAGAGCAGCGAGAACATGTGCAATAATGGCACTCTTGGAGGTCGTTGAGTTAGGTGGGGCATTTACCATCGCTAAATGTACAACAAAGTACACATGTTCGACGGGAAATCATGATGCTGCCATGGGGAGATGAGTGGAGGTGAGTTGGCGTGAACCGACCCGACCGAAAGTTAAGATTCGGTAAGCCATGCACGGACCAGGCCATGATCACCTGACTTGGCTGTACCCGCTCGCAACTCCAACGCCGCTTGGATTTGCCGGCAGAACAATGGAAGTATTGAATATTGATGTCGTATCATTCACAGTGTCCTTTCGTTTGTCCAATTCGACCTTCGAGTTCTTGTATTTCTCCCCAATGACATCTGAGCTCATTCGTCATCTAGTTCTTGGTTTTCGCTGCCTTTATTATTGTCATGCACTTCACCTCCGACCGTCATGATTATGTGGTTCATCGACATTGCCTCTCATGGCATGTTTAATAGTCTTTGAGTTCCCAACATTTACAATTACCCCGAGGCAACCTACCATCTGATTAGGCCTCGGTTAGCTATATTATATACCGGGTTATCTCATCCATCAAGTGGCTACCGTCCTAGTCAATCCCAGACTGACACTGACCGCGAGCGTCACTTCGACCCTTTACCAGCGGCGATACGCTTTAGGCTTTATCAAACCACCCCAATATCGCTCGCGATGAATTTCGCAAGGGCAAGTTGATTCTCGCTGATGTTGGATCGCCCATTCTGCCCATTCTGCCCATTCTGCCCATCGCCCCTTGCTAGACGATTAGTTCTCTGGCCATACTCGACCGGCTCCTCGGCATCCGAGTCAAACATGGGGTGGTCCCCTTCGGCGTCAGGCTCCCTGTTTCCATCGATCAGCAACCGGGTTATGCTGTGGAGCTGCAGCAGATTGCTCAACGGAACCGCTAGTGTTCGGGCTATCTCCCGGTTAGTGAAATCCAATTGAACGAGTGTGTCAATCAACAAGCCCCCCGCCAGGGAGGTGGCAACCGACAACTCGATGAATGGTTTTGGGTCAATGGCATCTGCCGGAGCCCTCAAAGTGTCCAAGACTAAGGTCTTCAAAGTCTTTGGGCTAGCGCTTCTCGGCCTGCCCCTGCTGCTGCCACCGTTATTGTTGTATCTACCAGCCTTGCTGATACCCCTGCTGTTATTCCAACCGTTGTTTCTGTCACCATTCCGGTGGCGGCTACTGTTGTCGTCCCAGTTTCGGTTACCGTTCCCATTGCCGTTCCCACTGCGGTTGCTGCGATTTCCGTTACCATGGCCGTTGCCGTTGCCGTTGCCGTTACGGTTGTTGTTGTTATTATGGTTGCCACGTCCGCGGCCTCTACCTTGGTTTGCCATGGCTGTTGAATCAAGTAAAGTGTTCGAAACTAATGAGATTCGTCAAATAAGTTTTACTTGTACAATTGTCTTGTTCTACGTTAGTCCAAAGAGCCCACGCCGGCGGCAGCGGGCAATCTTAAATATTCTTCTAGGTTTCTTTGTCTTTGTAACATGCGATATTCATAGCACCATAAAGATAAAATGTGTCTGCTAACTGAGGCAGCGGGAAAAGGACCCCGGGGCCGGCCGTGCCTTTGTTGGCCACAGATGTCTGGACAATTTCATTGTTTGTCGGATGTCACGCTCAAACATGACATTGTTATCTATTCTGAGTCTTCTCTGGACGGCTATGCCACCCTTGGGTCAAAAAGCCGGAACCGGGAGAAGAACACGGCCGAAGAAAAATATATTGGTAAAAAGAGATCGAGTGAATAAGTCGTGTAAAGGAGCCCGAAAAAAAAGCAGCCAGGTCAAAGACCTAGTAAACAAGCAAATACTTTCTCCAGATAGCCGGATAGTCTATATCCAACTCCTCACTTACACTTGGAGTTCCGAACTTTTTCCCCTAATGGTGTACATGTTTCAGTTTTGATGACAGACAGTCATGACAGTTCACGAAGATCAGTTGGATTAAAACAGGGCTGCAGTATTGGTGTTGGCGTGATGGTACGCTACTGTGAACGGTGATTGGCCTACTAACCAAGATATTGGCAAAGGAGACAGACATTTGCAAGTAGGGAATGATTTTCCTCGAAAGGGTAATGTGGTGTTGGACACTGCCATTATCCAACGGACTCATGATGAATGAGTCTTCTCCCGTCACCACGCGCTCACCATCAGCCAAGCCACCTAGAAGGTTTATACTTTGCCATCGTGGCTCGCCTTATACAGTATTGTTGAAGCAGCACGGTTATATAGGAAGCCGTGATGATAAGATATGTGTTAACCTAGCCCCACGTCTTGATGGACTCGCCAGTTCATGATGATCCTGTGGGACCCGAACGCGGGGCCCCGGCGACGAGCTGTAACCAATGTCGTCATCCATGGGGGTTGGTGGGCCCACCATTCTCGATCAGCGCGATCATGGGAAACAGTTTGTAATTTACAAACCGTATTGGTAAATTGGGTACCTGCGGCAGGAGAGCGGCTGTCAAAACGAACGCCCGACACTCTTCATGTCTTTCGAATAGGTACTTATAAATTTTCGTTTTATTCTTACTCGTCCAGGCAACTGAATTAACCGTGAAAACCCGCGAGATCCCGCTACTAGGTAAGTAAAGTAGTTACCTAGATGGCAGTTCACATGCGGCAAGGCCGATGGATGAGTGAGCAGGTGGCTGGTGGAATTTTGAAACATCCCAGAAAAGTTCAGTGGTGAAATACCTTACGAGGTTGCTCTTGTACCCATGTCGGCAGGCATGCAGCAGGGCAGTTTAGCGGCACCGAAAAGCTCCCCCTGTTGCCATCCATGCGCAAACTTGAGCTCCCATGCTACAACTCCCCACTTTGCCTCCGGCGTCGCTACCCTGCCCGCCAACCAACACGATCTGGGCCGTCAGCTCTCACCAACCCACCATCTGCGGCACACGCCTCCCCCTTCCGCCTCCCTCGACCCGCATTCAAATCCTGGTGATTCTCTTAACGCCTTTCCAATTTCGGTTTCGCCCTGCCCCCAACGCGCTTTGCCATCGACCTAGCCGCACCCGAATTCCTGCGACACAGCGCCTAGATCCGACGTCACCCCGCCGCCCTGTGCTGCATCCGGCCGCTATAAACCACCCAGTGGCCCGCCTTCGTCCGGCCTCAATCTCGGCTCGCCCCGATCATTCCTTGCTTGGATTCCTCAGAAAACTTCTCCAGGCAGGCCTTTCGCCGACATTTGCCGACGTCTCGACTTAAATAGCCTAGCTGAGGCTGCCTTATCAGTTGGCGCATCTCCATCTTTCTCCGTGGGCCTGCGCTGAGAGACCACTCCCGTAACTTGAACAAGTTCTGCTTGCGACATCGCATTCTCGGTTTTTATTTTATTTTCTACTAATCTGTACCTGATCGACCCATCATCACCATGGCGAATGAAGAGACAGACCGTGCGCCACGTGAGGTTAAAAACCACATGCTGTTTGAGATCGCCACAGAAGTTGCGCACAGAGGTACGCGACGAGTCCGGGCATTGTGATCGGATGACAGAACTAACCTGCATCCTAGTCGGTGGCATCTACTCCGTTATCAAGTCCAAGGCTCCGGTCACCACGGCCGAATATGGGGACCGTTACACCCTCATCGGACCCCTCAACCACCAGTCCGTACGTGATTGCTTTAATCCCATTGAGTGTTTTTTTTTCGTTCTGGAGGTAATAACAAGGTCGTAGGCAGCTGTAGAAGTCGAGGCCGTGGAGCCCACCAACCCTGAACTCGCCGCAACGATCCAGTCTATGAAAGACCGCGGCATTGGCATCTTGTACGGCCGCTGGTTGATCGAGGGAGCGCCCAGGGTTCTTCTCTTCGACACAAAAACAGCATACGGCTACATGAACGAGTGGAAAGCTGATCTTTGGAATACCGCGTCCATTCCCTCACCCGACAACGACGACGAGACCAACGAAGCCATTGTTTTTGGTTACCTCGTTGCGTGGTTCCTAGGGGAGGTTAGTAATTCTGACTCGTGCGCACTCTGAGGGACCTAGCTGACGGCGATGCAGTACGTATGCCATGAGAAGAAGAAGGCCGTCATTGCCCACTTTCACGAGTGGCTGGCGGGTGTTGCGCTACCACTGACCCGGAAGCGGCAAATCGACGTGACGACCATCTTTACAACCCACGCGACACTACTCGGCCGGTACTTGTGCGCCGGCTCCGTCGACTTTTACAACAACCTCCAGCACTTTGACGTTGATGCCGAGGCGGGCAAGCGCGGAATCTACCATCGGTACTGCATCGAGCGCGCTGCTACACACTCTTGCGATGTTTTCACCACCGTCTCCCATATTACGGCTTACGAGAGCGAGCACTTGCTCAAGCGTAAGCCCGACGGTGTGCTTCCGAACGGCCTCAATGTCACAAAGTTCGCGGCTGTTCACGAGTTCCAGAACCTGCACCAACAGTCCAAGGAGAAGATCCACGACTTCGTACGGGGCCATTTCTATGGCCACTATGACTTCGACCCCGAGAATACGCTATATTTCTTTACGGCAGGGCGTTACGAGTTCAGGAATAAGGGTGTCGACATGTTCATCGAGTCGCTAGCTCGCCTAAACCATAGGCTCAAGGCGGCCGGCAGTAAGATGACCGTCGTCGCCTTCATCATCATGCCCGCGCAGACGTCGTCATTGACGGTCGAGGCTCTGAAGGGTCAAGCGGTGATCAAGTCCCTTCGCGACACTGTGGATACGATTGAGAGGAACATTGGCCGGCGCATCTTTGAGCGGTCGCTCAAGTGGCACGATGGCGAGCCAATGCCGGAAGAGAAGGAGTTGATCTCGAGCCAGGATCGCGTCCTACTCCGGCGGCGTCTGTTCGCGATGAAGAGGCACGGTCTGCCACCGATTGTCACGCATAACATGATCAACGACAGTGAAGATCCGGTCCTGAACCAGATCCGCCGGGTGCAGCTCTTCAACCATCCCAGCGATCGGGTGAAGATCGTGTTCCACCCAGAGTTCCTGAACTCTGCGAACCCGGTGCTGCCGCTCGACTACGACGATTTCGTGAGAGGTACTCATATGGGCGTGTTCCCATCTTACTACGAACCATGGGGCTACACGCCCGCCGAGTGCACCGTGATGGGTGTACCGAGCATCACGACAAACCTCTCCGGGTTCGGCTGCTATATGGAGGAGCTGATTGAGAATTCCAGCGACTACGGCATCTACATTGTCGACCGTCGTACCAAGGGCGTTGATGACTCGGTTAACCAGCTCACGTCGCACATGTTTGACTTCGCCCAAAAGAGCCGCAGACAGCGCATCAACCAGCGGAACCGGACAGAGAGGCTTAGCGACCTACTCGACTGGAAGCGGATGGGTATGGAGTATGTCAAGGCCCGTCAGCTTGCGCTGAGGCGGGCGTATCCCACGTCCTTCAATGGCGAGGAGGAGGAGGATTTCATCCCAGGCGTGGACCAGAAGATCTCGCGTCCGTTCTCTGTGCCTGGATCTCCTAGGGATCGGACCGGCATGATGACTCCTGGCGACTTTGCAAGCCTTCAGGAAGGTCGCGAGGGCCTGAGTACTGAGGACTATGTCGCATGGAAGCTCCCGTGAGTGACACAAGACCTCCCGCTACTCTTAAGAAATTATACTAATGCACTGCACAGTGAGGAGGAGGACCCTGATGAGTACCCTTTCCCGCTCACGCTGAGAACGAAGACGGCTGGGGCAACCGGGAGTCCGCCCGGCAGCCTCCCGGCCAACGGCAACTGAGAAATCGGGTTGCTCAAGGAGGGGTTTGTGATGGTTCCACAATCCTAAATTGCATCACCATAAAAGTAGCTTTGCTCTTCTTTTCGCTCGGCCCACAAAAACACAAAGCATCATCAGCATTGGTATATAGCGTCTTCATCTTTTCTTTTCCGTTTTGGAGAGAGCGGTGGTCCAGGATCAACCGCCAGATTGTACGAGGTTCGAGCTGGCGGTCAACAGCCAGATGGAGCACCGGGGGAGGTAATTACTGGTTTTTGTGTATCTATTTATTCATCCATGTGCTACCTGGCCGAGACACGCGAACCACGAGTCAACTCAGTCGCAACCACAAACTTTTGGACTGCATGCAGGCGTCCGAGTACCACTGCATTGTGTTGGAGATGACCTGAGGCTGTCTCTGTATACCACACCTAGGCGGCGTGACCGTGGCCGGCGTGCCCGCGCCAAAGTTGCCGCTTGGACTAGCCAACAGGCTCGTGGTATGACCGAAACTCATGCCGGCATGGAGGTTGGCAGTCATTCTCGTTTGGTATCGCACATCCGCACTCATAAGACGGGCTGGATACATGGCGGTTGGGTCTGGCTTGGGGGAACCTCGGTCAAGCTCAACAAAAGGTGGTAGACTCAAATCGTTGGATATCCCTAGGAGCGCACTTCTCTCAACCCTAACAGACACAACATCCCCTGGGCCGAAGCAGTAGGCTTTCCCGGTGGTCCTTAGTCTCGGCATGGGCCCGAGCCTCTCTATCACGACCTTCGTCGCAACCGCGTCACTAACCAGGGCCCATGACGGTGGAATCAGCCGTCGGACAAAGAAGCGTTTGGACAACCCTGCGGAGGTCTGTGCCAGGTCGGCGGCAACAGCAGGTACAGACGACGTGTGGCTGTACCCCTAGAGCAATCAGATACATCCCTTGAAATATATGTGATAATCATCTCTAAACCTTCGGTGAGCATCAGCGACCTTTAAGACTGTCGAGTCAGATATAAATAAACACCCAGTGTCAACGACAAGCTTCGGCCAAGTCCGCCCATCGTTTCGGTGTCTTCAGACAGTGCCACCCACACGCTTCCAATTGGGTATGAATCAGGCAGGTGCCGGCATCCCCTGTAATCTCCCGCCCGCGCCCCGCAATCCAACAGGTGGTCAACCCCTCCACCCAAACCTCCTCTCATCTTAACCGTGCGACAAGTCATTTGTTCTTTGTCGTCCATTCCAGCAACTGATCTACCGGAATAACTTGGTAGCTGGAGACATAGCGCCGGTTCCAGTGCCAAAGTGAGGACCGGGTTCCTGAATCCCAAGATCTGACATGCATTTCAGGCAGCGCTATTACCAGGTACAGGTCCATCCACGGGCACCACCGGGCTTGATTGATACTGGCGATCCTTCCTTCATCCTTCTCATGAAAAAGGATTTGTCGCGTGAACAAAGGGAATGTGATCAGAATTGAACTTTCTGAGACGTCCTCTTCAGCTAGCCATTGCATTTGCAGGAGCTGCAAACTATTACAACGACAGGCTCGGCATGAAGAAGTTCACTTCCATCGTGAGCCTATCAGTTCGGTTAGTTGCAGGAGTTCGCCTCTCAGGGGCTTGCCTCCCGCCTGCATAGGTAGCGAGCGGCAAGCACAGGGCGACAAGCCACCGGCCCACGGCGGCCATTCATTCAGTGCCTAATGACGGAGAGCTTAATTCCACAGGACCCCACCTCTTTCTTGCACTCTCTCTTGCACCTCAACACCTTTCCCTCGGTCTGGCATGGGATTGTCACAACAATTCCGGGCACAATGAAGTTCTTCAGGAGAAAAGATAAGCGGAAGAACGATGGCAGCATCAGCACCCCCAGCCGGCTGCCGGGCTTCGGCAGCAGCTCGAGCAGCAAGCAATCGGCCTCGGCGTATGGCGGATACGGCTCCGTCGACCCCCGGCCCGATAGCTACCGGCCTTTCGGCTCGCCTCCGTCCAACCCCTTCGACCCAAGGTCCGCCGGCCGCTCCCAGCCCACGCCAACGCGCTCTTCGGCCGCGCTTCTTTCCCGCTTTCCGGAAGCCATCCTTGAGCGCATCTTCACTTTTGTCTGCCCCCACAGCCGCGACGAGACCTACGCCACGTGCGAGCAGAGTTCGGTCGAGGATGGCTGTGGGCTATGTGACCTGCGCGATCTAGCGCATTGCGTCGCGGTTTGTAGGAGGTGGAAGGGAGAGGCCATCAAACTACTGTACGTTGCAATTGCGGTCCTTCTTTTCTTTGCCAACATGGTGTCCCGGCCCCAAACGACGATTCGCTGACCCTCCCTCTCCCACAGATATCACAGCATCCGTATCGATAGCGTACACTACTGTGATCTCGAAGCCATCCTCGCTGAGCGCCGAAAGCGGCGATCCTTCTTCGACCGAAACGGCCAGCCCGAAGACCCCGCACAAGCCCGCCTGAAGCTCCTCTGCCGCACGCTTCGGGAGGATCCTGTCCGCCGAGGCCGGCTCGTTCAGTTCCTCAAGATGCCATATATGCTGCGCGAATCCTGCCAGGCTGATCTGGCGCGGACGATTGCTGTGACACCGGACCTGCACTACGTCGACTTGCCCGAGGGCCTCTACACAGACGACTCCGCGTTCTTGACTCTCCGCCTAGAAGTGCAGGCGAGATGCCTCGAGTTGCGAAAGATGACGTATATGGGAGGCTCCGAGAACAGCCTCCAGGCGCTGGCAACGGGGAGGGTGTGGACCAAGCTCGAGGTGCTGGAGCTCACTCGGATAGAGATGGAGCCGAGCATGATGCGCCAGGTGCTGGGCTACCTGGAAAACCTGCGCGCGCTGAAGATCAGCCAGACCACGTCCTTCACCGACGAGACTTTGGAGTGGAACGATATGCTGCCGCCGTTCCCCCCAGTGGAGGAGTTCATTCTTACTGACGTTCCCAACGTTACGTGTGAAGGGCTCAAGGGGTGGTTAATGCTGCCGGAGGCACGGCAGGCGCTGAAGGTGCTCACACTAAATGGGACCGGTGCACGAGCCTGGGCCTTGCAGGACCTCATGCACTACACCCCCGTGCTCAAGCACTTGTCCATTCTCGACAGCGTGTCGGCTGCCTTGCCAGCCGCCGCCGGAACCCACAACATCCCACCGCTCTCCTCCACCAGCCTCGAGTCCCTGCACTTCGAAATCACAGCGGCGCCCTCCACACCCAAATACGCAGGCGTCACAGCAAGCTACTACAACTACCTCGCCGGCTCCCTCCTCTCGGGCGGCCTCCCCAACCTGCACGCCGTCTACGTCCGAGACCCCAACTTCCCCGACCTCCTCCTCGGCCTACCCCCGCCCACCCCAGCATACGCCGAAGGCCGCGGCGCCCGCCCCGCCAGCAGCGGCTCCAACTCGCCCTTCTCCTCCCCCCTATCCTCCCCCAGCAACCGGCCCGCCCACGGCGGTCTCCCGCCGCTCTCCCCGCCCTCCGCCCCCTTCGCAGGCCGCGGCCACCGCCCCCAGGGCTCCCTCTCCTCCCTCAACGGCTCCTTCAACCCGGGCGGCGGCGGCGGCGGCGGCCTCGGCGTGAGCCCCAACCCCAACCCGCGCTTCAGCAGCAACAACCCCTTCGCCTCCCTCACCTCCCCGCCCGTCCCCGGCCTGGGCCTCGGTGGCGGTTTCATGAACCTCCCCGCCAAACTCGAGGTCTTCACCAAGGGCGAGGACGACGATCAGCTGGGCTGGTCGTTTGTGCAAATCGGCAATGGCGGCCATGGCGGGCGCGGAGGAAGAGGAGGTGCCGCCGGTGGGGGTGCCGGTGGTGGTGGTGGGGGTGGGGGTGCCCCGGAGAGACCGCTTAGTAGCTATGGGCTTGGTGCGGATGTCCTGGGCGGGAATGCCTCCGGGTGGAGCAGCGGTGCTGGGGCCAGGCGCAGTGTGCTGGTTAGTGGCGTGGGTGGTGCGGGCGGTGGGTTCTTGGCGGTGCCTGGTGGTGGTGGTGGTGGTGATGGTGGGCAGAGGAGGGGGAGGATGGATAGTTTGGCTGGTGGTGGTGGTGGGGAGGATGAGTGGCCCAGGCCGAAGAGTAGTGCGGGTGAGAAGAGGAGGGAGAAGATGGATTTGTGGCGGTGAGTGGTGAGTGGTGAATGGCGAGCGGTGAGCTGCTGTGGAGGGAGGGAGAAGAATGATGGGAGAAGAAGAGAGAGCGGTTTGTGCGCTGATGAGTTTGAGCAAGAGATGGTCACGAAACTGCTGTGGGTTGGTGCTGCTTCGCTGGTTGGGTTGGGATGGGTGAGTGAGTGGTATAGAGCGTAAGCGTATATGGCGCGGCTATCGAGGGCGTCAAGGGGTAGGCGAGTAAGAGAGAAAGTGGGAGTTCTAATCCGTCATATCTTGCCCTGCTTGTTGGGCGGGGGGTTCGGGGGCTTTTCTTCTTCTTCGATTTGGGAATGTTGGCGGATGTATTAGGTATACCCCCTGATCGGTTCAATATCAAAGCAATATTTGCGTCCAAAGGCCCGGTGTAACGGGCTTTGAGTTTGTCTTGGGTGGCTGCCCAGGTGAGATGCTCTTGCTGTTGTTGTCTCTTTCAAGTGTGTGGTGCAATGGGATAACAGAGGTTGACCACGATGGGGATGACAATATATTGCCGATTCACGTTGCAACTGAAGAAATACAGGAAGCGTCCGGACTAGCCTTCTTTTGGTCTAATGCAAAGGAAAGGTAGTTGGCTACGAAACTCTTCATCGAGTTTTGCGTCGTGGGATCGAAACCGCACCATGTTGGGTACGTAATGGACCACGAGCCACCCCCCAGTTTCACCAAACGAGGGTCTGGAGGGAGCTGGTACTGGAAGGTTCGAACTGCTTCATCAAGGGCGAATAGCAGATCTGTGGTGCTAGAGCTAGCTGGGGAAAGTTCATACGGAAAGAGAAGGGTTATCCTAGGCGGGAGGTCGTCAGTACTTGTTCGGGGGTGGTTGTCTATAAAAGCCCCGACCTACGCGGTAATTGAAGAAAATATTGTCCGGTAAGTTGTTACCGTGCCCTGACCTCCTTTACCTCTCCCACCGGACATTATGTGTTGGCTTGATCCCCGACTAATGGCCTTGTGTGGATATCCCTGGCAGGCTCAACTCCCACTCACATCTACCACCGCCTGCCGTTTGGCGATATTACGCCCGTGACGTTCGCCTTCAACCGTGTCCCCTTTAGCTCCGTTTTCTCAAAGCTGTCAAAATCATCTATCTCACCGCTACAAAGTCCTCATTGCTTCTCCATGCTGATCTTGCCCCAAACAAAGCACGGCACGCCGTCCCAGGGGCAGTTCAATCCCAGCATGGCAACATTACAACACCACCAGGCCTTGGTTAGCAGGTTGTTCTACCGATCCTTCCATAGTCAGGAGGATAACCGTACATAAACGCCTCGCTAGAGCGGTTCAATGTCGACTGCGACTCTGTTCGTGGGGGTGCAGCTGCAGGTGATACAGCCGGGTGCGACGTCTTTGCTGTATTCGATAGGATGCGGATGTGTGGGTATTTCTTGTCGACGTTGGAGTGACGCGACAATTGTTGGGTTTGTCTGACTGCATGACAACTTTGAGATTGTGAGTTCGTTGGTATTACGGCGTTAGGGTGTATCAAGGCTGTTTAGACTCCACAACTACCGTGTATAAAAGCCTAAGTCGGTTGATATGATGATAGAAAAACCGTCACAAATGTAAAAGAGAGTGTTTCTGCTGGGATTTCACAGTGAGCATTCTCACTGTCCTGTTTTGTAGTTACTCTGGCCTTGTCGAAGTGAGAGTAGCTTGAGGAAGAGGCTATCCATTCTTGCCTCAGCACCTAGGAGTGCTCACCAAAATGGCACGCCTGGATTCTGACAAGCCTGGGAGCTAAAACATATAAATTCTTCGTTCTTTCCCTTTTTTTTAGTACAGAAACAACCCACTAGATAGATACCCAAGTCCGTTTTCGAAACGCCATCACGACATCTCACCTCTTCCTATTACCAACCAAATCTACTACTTCCAAAACCTGAACAATCCATTCAGCCCAATCCGGATGTAAGTCAAAGATGCACGACTTAGCTGCACAGCTCACACAGTCTCCCCACCAACCACTAAAAACCACCATCACAAAAGAAAGGATCCATCCAGCCCCAGCGTGGCTCAGCAGCCGAAGCGGCCATTTTCGAGGCCGGCATACTTATCCCAATCCTAATTCAATACAAACAAAATCCTCCACACACGTGGACGACTCACCCTCCTCTGTTTTCCAGTTTTGAGGGGTTGGGTGCAAGAGAGAGAGGGGGGGTTGGGGAGAGGGCTGAGTCGGGCAACGGCTGGAAAGTCAGCATGAGGTTCAGTTCAGTTGGTTCGGCCTCATGTGGCCAGCTAGTTGTCAACCCAATCCCAATCCCATTGGTGTCAGCATGGGGTGAAAATGGGTCATTTTGTCTTGTTGATGTTTCGTCCGTGGGTGTTTTGCTGCAGCATTGTTGGAGTCAGGTACCTAGGAAGAGGGGGAGATGCGGGGGCGGGTTGTTGTGCTGTTTTTAACTTTTTTTGCACGTCATCTATTCGATCTATTCGACCTATTCGGCCCCATCTTACTTTTTGGGGAGTCAGAGACGGCCAACAGAGCGGGATGAGGTAGCTTTGCATGACGGATGTTGCATGTCAGATGCTTAAGAGCTAGCTGGCCAGCTCTGCGGCACAGCGAAAGCCGTTCGGTCGCCGTGTGGCACGGCAGGTCGATCTTCCGCTCGGCTTATGTACACAGGCGAGACAGACAGGCCGGGGTTGACAAGAAACTGTGCCGTCTCCGTTATGTTATGTCAAGCCCGCCACAGTGGGAAGGAACATGATCAACTCGGAAGGGTGGAGAAGATGGCTGAGAAGCAGGTTTGATCAACTTCTGCTAGCTATTTTGGGTAAAACAATAACATCAAGCAACGCTTCGCTTGCCCAACCCCAATGTATCCAATGTGCTTCTAGTCATAGTCATAGCTCATCAGCTCTAACCCGTCTTGCCCAACTACGTGAAAAGTAGGCCCCATATTCCTTCTGCTTGGCCGGCAATCCGTCGCCCAACCTCAGGCTCACTCACGGCGCAAACGTAAACACACGCGGCCCCGCCTTCAACCCATCAACAGGATCCTGCCCATCATCAGCAGGCGGCGGCATCATCGAGTTGCCCCCATCAACCGCGGTGCGCAGCCCGGACAGCTCGTACATGAGCACGACGCGGCAGATGGTGACAGACGCCGTGTAGCGGCCGATGACGCCAAAGGCGTCGCGCACCGAGATGAACTGCATGCTGGAGAAGGCCAGGGTGCCGAAGATGACGTGGAAAGTGGTCGAGGTGGAGGTGAGCCACGAGAGGAGGAGGAAGCGCTTGGTCTCGGGCACCGTCTCGACCGTGATGCGCTTGTCAGTCGACAGGGTTAGCTCCGACGCGAGGATGGGCTCGCGCTCTGGGGTGAGCAGTCGCAGGCGCGACTTGAGGCACAGCGCGCCGATGACGTGCACGGCGATGCCCGTGGCGGCCCACAATCCCGGCAGGTAGCTCGAGTCCGGCAGGATCATGGTGGTCACGCCGACGCCGAGGCCGTACGTGACGTGGACGACGTTGGCGACCGAGGCGAGCGCGACGATGTACTCGAGGGCCAGGACAACCCACGAGGGCCCGATGTGGAAGCTGTAGAAGCGGCCCTCGCGCGCGCGGAGGATGCCAACGGGGTCCTTGTACTCGAACGGCCGGAGAGCGACCACGACGGGCGCGCCCGCCAGCAGCAACGTGGTCAGCAGCGGGCGGCGGCCGATGACGTACAGGAGGGCGCTCTCCTCGCTACTGGATCCCAGCACAGACAGGGCGAAGGGCATGATGCCAAGTAGCACGGCCGCCGAGGCCATGTTGGCCTTCATGAACTCGGACGTGCTGGAGAGTATGCACTGCACCACGGCCTGCCCTGTCGAGGTGGTGCCATTGGCCGTGTGGTCTTCGGGACGTGCCGGCGAACCCGCGACCCAGGCGGCATACTCGGCCGAACAGTGCGTCTCCAGGATGGTCTGGAAGACGGACCCGTACTCGGGGTACCAATCTCGAAAGTCAGAAGCTGCTGCCACCTGGGCGACCGCCCCGAGGGCCCAGAGAGTGAGCGCGCCGGCTCTCATCGTGTCTGTTGGGCCGTTGATGACTTTGATGTACGCTAAGAATAGGTCATACCACCTGTCATTGAAGCACGCAAGAAGCCATGGCCGAGGAGGTAGTCAGAAAGATAAGTTAGAGACGCCAAAAGTTGGGCAACAGAAAGCCTCGTCAGGACTGTAGCACAATAAGCGCTGTCGTATGCATCACGTGAGTGGGGGCTAGACCCGGCCGTGAAGTATCGCCAGCTGCATTGTCAACAGTATGCATTGTAACATTGCGTTTGAACCTGGTCTCGCTTGTTCAAGGTAGCTTATTAGATGCCGATAACGGCGGTAACATGGAGGATGCTGGCTGTGCCTGACCAGCGAGAGAACGAAGTGTTCTACACGTCTCGTGAGGAGGGAAATGTAGTTGGAGGAAGGAATTCATTCGGTGACCGACCATTGATCCTGTGCCGTTTTGTCGCGTTGACGTACAGTGCGGGATGGGCGAGGTACTTAGTTAGGTTAGGGAGAAGTAGGGCGGAAAATGGCACCGAAAACGAGCGCGTTGGCAGACACGTGGAAGCAAGTCTTGCACTGTGGCCGGTGTCGAATACTTGCTCGGTTCGCCGGCCCCCTTCTCCAGCAGAGGGAAGTCGTTAATGCAAATCCATCAGCGGAATATTTCCAACGGCACCGGAGCGGGAGCGGGTATCGGGCGGTGATACCGAATGTGGATGGAAATCCTTTCAAGCTGAACATATTCCAGGAACCAGCCTCAGCCTGGCATGCAACGCGCGTCGAGTCAGGCGCTCTGCCGCTTAGGGTAGCGATGCGGCCGGCGGAATGATTCGTCCTCTGACGTCGCTGAGCCGAGTCAGCCTCATCATCCTGTTACACAGTCCTGTGTAGACGCGCAAGAGCCGGGCTGTCGGTGGCCTCCTGCGAGTCTATTTCTGTGCCGCACCAAGCCCACAAGGCATGGCGGGGTAACAACACGCTCAGGCAAGCCCTTGTTCGGTTGATGAGCTGATCTGGCTGTGCAGATTCTTTTGCTGACCGAGTGAATTCCCGTTTGGCCGCGTACGGGATCCTGTCTCAAGGGGAATGAATTATCCCGACCGTTGGAATCAGAAGCACCATGTCCGCGACAGATCTTGGTCGTGTAACCTGTGGAATCTGGGGAGCCCGAACAGGAGCTGAAACAATTTTAGAAACATGTTGTGTGCTAGTCCGGATCTGGTTGGACTTTTACATTATGCACGGACCATCTCGCCTTTCGATTCAATAAGCAATGGGCTCGGGGAAAAAGAAGAGGGTGTATTCGTGTTCCGATGAAAGGGATGAAAGGGGTGGTGAGATAATATGCAGGTGTTCAAGAGCGATGCCCGTTCCATTATTGTCTTCTCATCTTCTTTTCTTTCTGGAAGCATGGGAAGAAGAAGGTGATCCCGGATTGGGAACCGTATTCTTGAAGCTTGGACCAACAGTGCTCCAACCCTTGATTGCGCATGACGCAATGTCCAGAATTAGGGTTAGCATTCATCAAGATCAGACGAAGAGATACCACCTCCTTGGTGAGAGGTCGGGAGCTAGCACGGAAAGGCAAGGTAAGCCCGCGAGGAGTCAATCCGGATGAAAAAGTGACCTTGAATATACCTTGAACAGAAAAAAGAGTATGTATAGGGGATCCCTGGCTCAAAACGGTGTACCCATCGCACCCCGACGCCCAAGTGACGGGTCGTTTATCGTCCGAAGCAGTTTTGTTTCGAGCCTTTGACCACGAGGCCATTGTAGGGTTTGGTGTTGGCGCTTTGGGCCGTGAAGCGCCGAGTTCTGGGTGCTGATACCAGGACTGCAAGATGAGAGGACCATCCAGGATGCCGGGGGTGTTCGTCGCCGAGATACGTGAAACGAAACGGAGTGCACGGGGTACATCCAAACCATCTTTTGAGTTTCGTGAGGACACGAGGCAGAGGGAGACAGACGCAGCCGCGTTTTCGACCTCAAGTTTCCTCCGACCAAGGCTGAGAGAGAAATCCCAGAAGGGCGAGTGAACTCAGAGAAGGATCCGAGAGAAAGTCGGTCAGCAGTCGCAGCTGAAGCTTGGACGTGTTTTGGTCCGACTTGATTTGTTGAACAATGGTTAGCACGAGGCGGCGCCACAATCACCTTGTGCCAACCGCTGTAGGAAGGGGACGCTCATGCACGATCCCCATGCGACAGGACAGGTACCGTGTACATGTACCTGTAAAGAGAATGGGCGGTGTTGCGCGGTGTTGCGCGGTGAGGAAGAGCAACCCAGAAGGAAGAATTGCCTGCTGCGAGATGCGAGGTGAGTTGTTGTGTTCCAGATGTTGGGTAAGAGTTGCAGATCAGGGTCCACTTCCAGATGCCGCTTCACTCCCGAGAGGCAATGTGTGGTTGTGGTGTGGCTGGCTCAGGGTTGGGTACACCGTTGGCGAGACGGAGGTTTTGTCAGCTTCGACCCAAAATACTTCGCCGGCGCTGCGGTCACAACCATCGGCCGGCCCTTGATGGTCTCTGCTTCCGAACGCGGCCGTCTGCAATTCTGGCCTTGGGACCAAGTCCGAGTCAACAGCAAAGGCAAGTAGGACAACCGGCTTAGTCAACCACGCCTTTCCGTTTTGGCTGCGGCCAGGCGGGATTCGGAGGCCATGCTGGGTTTAGATCAATCTGAGAGTTCATGCCGTGAGGACTAACCCAACAAACAAGCACCTGGTTCACATTTTCGGCCTGGCCGTCACAAGTCAGACAGGCACGAAGTGACTACCTAGTTCGGGTGGCCGACACAGGTAGGCGGGCAGGTCGGTCGGGCTCCGTTGCATCGCGACAGGTTGAAGGGTCAAACGGTCTGGCGGGCAGCCGCTGGGCAGGACGAAAACTCAAACCGACCCGGAGCCCTCTCGCTCAAATTTTACATTTGCGAAGATGGTGGTGTGCGACGCCATGCGACACCATGCGACACCATCCAGCCGCTGCGAGCACCTCCGTCGACGCGAATCTGTTTCGCTTCTCATCGGCCGCGGGGGACCATCCAAGATCTCCCAGGGGTTTCCCACGCGAATCTTTCATTGGCAGCGCGGCACTGCGTGGGTTCGTGAGTTGGTGAGGGGCAGGTGCCTGGGCGACGCCGATTGGCACGACGACCCAGATCCCAACTCAGAGCGGCGGCAATGGCGAACCACGGCTGATTGGAGAATCGCGCCCGCTCGCCGGTCACGTTGTTGACAGCTCGGAGGCCCTCGGGAAACCGGGCTGGCTGGGGCTGATGGCACTGATGACGGAACAGACTGCGCAGATCTTGGACTGTCGGGAGGTTGGGGAATGGCAAACAGGCTTACAGACTCACACGAGGCAGTGGGAGTGGCTGTGATGGAAAACGAGAGTTCCGGCTCCGGAATGCTCACCAGCCAGCGACGAAGACCGGACACGGCCCTCACCACAATGCAGAAAAAAAATAGAATTTCTCGAGGGATTGTTTCGCGCGGAAGTTGATTCTTTGGAGTGCAAGCCGAGAGGAGGTTAGTGGGCACATCACGTAGAAAATCGCAGGCTTGGCGAAGAATTTCCCCGTCTCTGCGCTCGCTGTCCGCGTTGAAGGTCTCGAGGGCCGGTTCTATTTGAAACATCGGCCATGGCCAACCAGGGCTCGCCATTCTAGCAGCCCTCGATGGGAAGCCCAGACGACAGCCAGCCTCCACCGGGCTCAAACCAGCGGCCGATTCATTCCAGTGGAGTTATCAATGACTCCGTTGAAGCATTGGGTGCAACTTTCGCAACCATCCCGAGTCGTCATCTCAGACTCACTGATCAGAGTTTGGGGCGGAGGCGCTGTTGGCCGTTCGTAAAAAAGAAACGGGCTGATCAAGGTTCGCAGCTTTCCCCATCCTTGCTTTCCCTTTTCCATTGCTGTGGAGGCGTTGAGCAGGGATCGTCGGTGGCAGGGGCAGGGGCAAGGGACAAGGGGATGCAGGGCGTGTCATGCGAGGGCAGGAGAGCAGGCCATTCATCCGTCTTTCTCGTAACGGACCTGCTTTTTTGCAGCCATTGCGGGACGGAGGGACATGCATTTCCTGCGCAGCACCGGGGCGCACCCAAGACAACCCACCCACACCCACACACACGCCATACGGAATGCGGTCGGTTGTGACGGCGGGTCTTGTCTCTGCAGACCGTTAACATTCTGAGAAAGGGTTTCTCTTGGCACTCGACACTTCTTCGCACATCAGCTCCGGGGTGGGTGATGCCCACCTTTGGAGGGCTTGGGCAGCGCCGATTGCATTAAAATATTCTCCCACCCCCCCAACCTCTCGGAACATGTTCCTCCATACCAGTCGTTGCTATTTGCCATCTAACTACATACCATCCCTCAAACATTCTCAGTCCAGGAGGCTGAGACATTGATTGACCTTGTCTTGAGCTTCTCTCCCCAGAACCCACTGTTCTCTGCTCCCTTGACCGCTTCCAACCTCCCGACCCACGCTCTTCTCCCTCGAGGGCAATGTCTCTGGTGGAACAAACCCTTCCCGTGGGGAAGGCAGACCACACGATCGGCATGACAAATAACCAGGTGTTCGACGATAAACCCGAGTTTCCCCTCTCCAAAGCAACCACCACTTTCGACGAACCCATCTTTGACAAGTTCGACGACATGGACAACCAAGATACCATGGCGCCGAGCCCGAACCTTGCGAACGACGACGTCCCCCAGCTCCCCGCGAAGAGTGCCCTCCGAGCATCCAGGATGCTTGACAACTTGGGGATCAAGGTTGGGAGCACCGTCGAGTCGACCACCCCACACGACGTCTACCTCTCGTCTGAGGAAGACGCCTCGTCAGACGCCGATGACTTCTCCGACTACGACTATGACTCGAGCGTGGAGGACCCGACTTCCCCAACCAGGACTAGCCATGAGGTCACAGCAAGGGCGGTTTCGGTGGTATTTTCTGGAAAACCATCGATCGTGGACCTGCCTGCGACGCGGAAACGGCCAGTGTCGAGCAGCTCTTTGGGTACGACGCGATCGAGTGCCGAGTCGTCGGCCCCGGCCAACCCACGCATAACCAGGTCGGCTACCACCGAGGACCGACCCAGCACACCGGCCAGCGCAACATCGTCGCTCTCTTCCCGCCTCAGAAAGGATCCGCCGGGCGACCGCAGGAGCATGCTCCTATCCGAAATCCTGACCAAGAAGAAGCCGACATTCCTCAGCATCGACCCCTACGCCAACGGCAGCACCTACACGCTCGACATCCCCAAGGCATTGGACAGCCTCGAAGGCGAGACGCAGACGGTCAAGACACCCCGCACTCCCACGACGCTCCTCAAGGGCGTAACCCGGTCGTTCAGTCTGGCCCGCAGGCGGAGCAGGCCAAACCTGAACTCGCCGCAGACCGCCGTTCCGAAGTTGGATACCTCGTTTGCGACGACCTCGAACAGGAACTCAGTGGTCTCGCCCGCCATGGTGCACCGTGTCGACGAGGAACCACAACAGGATAAGCAAGAGTACGAACAAGAACAGCAGCAGCAGCAGCAGCAGCAGCAGCAACAGCAACAGCAACAGCAACAGCAACAGCAACAAACAGAGCAACAGCAGCAACTACTCAGGCCTGACCAGCGGCCAAAGACTCCAGTGACGCCAATTACATACACCGACATCCTGCGGGCGGTCAAGCGCAATGCCACGGTAATGGGTGCGCCATCGCCGCCGAGTGATATCTTGTCGCCGACCTCACCAGGTGGGCCCAGCCCGGCGACGGCTCGGAAGGGGATCCTGAGCGGACTGTCGGCTCGGAGGAGGAGCGTCAAACTGATGGGGAAGTCTTGAAAACGGAAACGGAGGATCTAGTTTTGCTTGCATTTTTTCGGGGTCTAATGGGCAATGGGCAATCAATCCATGGGTGGTTGGGATAGGGATCTTCGGCGTTTATCAGGTTCATCAAGGCACAGAAGGCGTCTGGGAAATGATGATTTCAGGGTGGATCTACATGACATGACCCCCGACATGACTTGGGTTTTTTGGGGGGGATGACGATACCAATGCCGCACAGCACACAGTCCAGGACAGCAACAGTCTGAGATACCTGGCTAGCATCTTTCTTTTTCTTACTTTTTGAATCAAGCAATCAAACAAATCTGACTTGCCATCAAATAATCCCTCATTGTCGCTTCCCAATCTCCCTCATTGCATGTGATAGCTCAATCGGCACATACTGACTCGTCACACAACTGACTCAGGTAGTCTGTCGTTGATCGCAGCTTGCTCTCGGACCTGGAGGCTTTTGTTTCGCCACCCGTTTCTAGTCATGCAACGCATCGGCGTCACTGAGACAAGGCGGCTGAGCCTGAGCGCATTCGCCCCGACGACATGCCGGTTTTACATTTGCTCGGATGCCGTCTTGCTGAGACTGGCTCATCCCTGGCTCGAGCGCAAGACACACAATGCAGTCAGTTTCGGGCGGTTGCACGGGCGCATCGCCCATGACTTTTGTCGCCCCCTTTCCTTCCCCTTGTCTTTTGGATTTTGTTCTAGAAGAAAAGTCCTTCTTCTGTTGCTGTCTTGGTTGGATCTCCCTCGCTCGCCCCGGGAAGGATTCCTGTCCTGGCCAGGCCAAGCAGGGGGGATGGCGGAAGCTGAGTGTTTCAACAACAACCCCCTTCACGAACTAACCCCGCCGAAGAGGAAGCGAAGGGTCGCCCGAGCCGTGTCTTGGGCGATGTTTCGCGCCTCTTTCTCCCCTGGCTTCCCTTTATTCTGGCTAACTAGGTAGTCATATCGGTGATGATGGGCTCCGGTTTGACCCGGCCATACCGCTCGGTTACGGTGCGGCGAGGATGTTATCTCGGAGCAGCTAACTACTTATAACGACGCAAAAAGTGAAAAAAAAAGAGAGGAGGATTCCTTTTTAACGACGGCGCAATTCTACAAAACCGTCCGGTGCAAATATCGGGTACGCCCTCGCTTCGTCTCAAGGCTCCCTGCAGCACTCCACACGCGGATGCAGATGCGCCGCCGCAAGGCACGAAAAACGTGGCATGCCATTGCGATTGCGATTGCTCGGCTGGGCTCGGGTCGGAGCTTGAATTGCACTAAGTGAAGATGGGGGAAACGAAACAAAAGAGACGTTGGCGACGGGTCGGCGGCAAGGTTCGTTTGGGGAGTGACGACGCGAATGGATGGTTGGATGGATGGATACAAGATAGTCAGGGGCAGCTCTACCCCGCCCTGATCGGACATGCTACATTATCCATCCCTCCCCTTTTTCTTGGGGTTGCTTGGGATGGAGTGTTGCCCCCCGCGCCGGGTGGCGATGGGCCATGTCGCCAGTGGATTGGTGCGTGTAACTCTGCATCATGAGGATCATGGGTGCTCAGAAAGGGAATATTTTTGACGAGGAGAGGGATGGTTGGCCCATATCCTCTCACATCAACATTGGATCGGCGGTTTTGTTGGAGTGGGGGTTGGTCACTAACATCATCTTGCTTGTAGTTGCGGTGGTACTTTGCGGTTCTAGGCCCTGGTATATCCCTCCGGCGGCGAAGAGATACAGGTGCCACTTACACGATAATTAGAGTGCGAGCCAACCGAGGCCATGGCATCCCTGAATCCATGCCTCGGGCGATCAACCAAATCGGAGTGCATCAGAAGGTGCCACAGAGACGCAGGGACTGCATCACCAGCCGCCGCACCGGTGCATCACCTCCCCGCGTGTGGTCTCTGCAGTGTAGTGTCCGTGTTCTGCAGTGTCTTGCATACCTCTAGACATATGTACAAAGTCGTCATCATGCAAGGAGACGCCTGTCACGTCGACTTGCATCCTCGCTCCCACCCATACCAACCAGCCTAGGCCAACCCGGGCATGGGGATGCGTTCCAGGGGCGTTGAAACAAAATGCAACGGCAAGATTATTTCCAGGTCGGGCGGCGAGGATGCCGGTGACGGCAAGGGCGATCACCGTTTCAGGAGGCCCGGGAGGCCCCGGAGGTCCCGGGAGGGTCGAGGGCGGCTCGGGTCAGGATAACGGTGGCCATCACCGTTTTCAACAACGTCTCCTTGTTCGGAAAGCTTGTGGTGGAGATGTTCCGGAGGAGGCCTAGACCAGAAGCCCGCCTTCCCTCCTCCCTCCTGCTCAAGGAACAGGCAGGTGTCGTACATACACCCTTGCTTGCCAAGTAAACGACTTGCATAGTGACAGCGCTCCCGGCGGCGTGGGACGCCTCCTCTGGAGTTGGTACGAATCTAGGCCTGCGTGCTTGTGCATGAGAGCCCATGCGGAACATAGCTAGGTAACGGCCAGGAAGGGCCCTCGGAGTGTGCTCACAGGGAAGCTCCTCTAGATTTGAGTTTGACGTTGGCCCATCAGATCACTTAGTCACATCATCCGGGCCGGGCCCATCACTGCGGCCAAGAGCCAAGATAAGCGAACCTTGTATGCCCAGACATTTCCCTCTCCCTAGGAAAAGTGTATGTGGACGACTAGCCAACGCATAACACACCAACCGCCGGCTTGCCCGTTTGGCCAATGCGGACCCCAATTATGGCCGCCGCGCTGTGCTCCGTTAAAGGGAGATCTACGGCCGGGCCGGGCCCAGGCTGCAATACACAGTAGGCCGAGGAATGTGGCCCCGAAACAAACAGTGGGTAGGCCGGCCGGGAGGTAGGTCGCAAGCCCGGCCTGACCCGACCCGGCCCACTTCGGCCTACTCCGGCCGGGGCCCGGGATCGCCGAAACATGGTAGCAAACCAGCCAAGCCAAGTTTATATGTTGGGGATTTGTAGAAAGGTGGTCGGTCGAGTTTGACGGGCCGTGGACATGGGTAACGACTGGGTTTCTATTTCAGTTCTTGTTGGCCGGTCTAGCCTCAAACATGAGTGTATACCTACCCCGGTAGTCATAAATCACACCACCAGGAAGCTGAAACCAGACACCCTCACTGTTGCGTATGTACTTTGATTCGCAAGGCTATTGACATGGAGTCAAAAAATAGGCAAGGCCAACTATATACAAGAAGCCGGACACCTTCACCCCACAACCATCACCACCCCCATCACTCTCTACGGAGTGCACTGGCTGTACCACTCATTCGAGGCCTTGCAGGTACCCTGGGCGCAGGTGGTCGGGCCGGTGTAGCCGTTGCCGCCGCACTGGCCGTACAGGGGGACGCTGCCACCGCCGTTGCCGCCAGTGGGCTGGCTGCCGCCGGCGGTGGTGGTGGGGTTGCTGCCGCCGCCGTTGTTGCCGCCGGAGCACGAGATCGGGGCCGGGCCGGGGATCTGGTAGGTGCGGCCGTTCATGGTCGGCTTGCCCGTGCTGTCGTAAATGCTGACCACGATGCCCGGGTGGTTGGCCGGGTAGGCGCCGGGGAAGGACACGAAGTTGGAGCCCGAGTTGGTGCCGGAGCCGGTGACTAGGTGGGGGGTGTTAGTTGTTTGTTTTGTTTGTTTGTTTGTTTATCCTCCGAGTAGGGGAGGTGGGAGAAAAAAAAAAAAAAAAAAAAAAAAAACTGACTCTCGACCTGGGCGCACTCCATATAGAACTGGGCGCCGCCGGCGGTGCTGGCGCTGTGCAGAGCGAGCAGCTCGACGCGCATCAGGTACTGGCCGGGGGCCACGCACGACGGCACGTCAAAGTAGTGCCAGCCGTTGTTGGAGATCATCTCGTCGACGGCCCACACGCCGTTGTTGACGCCGCGCTCGGCGATCTTGAACCATTGCTGGCCCGAGGCCGAGGCAGAAGCGGCATTGCTGACCTTGGCGAGGTAGACGGTGATGGGGCCTGTGAGGGGAGGAAAGAGGTCATGTTAGTGAGGCTGAATTCGTGATAGTTGTTGACTCGAAGAGGCGAGTTTTTAAGTGACATAACATACCCTTGTGGGAGGCAGCGATCGGGTTGTCCTGGTCGTTGGGGCCCGAGGGACCGCCAATCTCGTGCTGCCACCACGCACCGACGCGGGCGCCAGCGGGGATCTTGATGATGTTGTTGTCCTTGATCTGGATGTTGGCGTTGCAAGCAATGTTGGCGTCGTTGACGTTCTGGATGGGGTAGTTGCTGTAAGGGGCACGGATACCCTTGAGCTGGCCCTGGTCCTGACCGTTGACCGACAGCCTCTGGAAGATGGCGTGGCCGCTGACGGCGGTCGCCAGAGTGACGAGGGAGAAAGCCTTCATTGTGGCGGTGATATTACTCTCTTGCCTTGGGAGAGAACTGGGTAGGGTAGAGGTGGGAGTGGTAGGGAGTGGTGGCTGTCGTAGAATAGACTCAAGAGCAGCTGAAGAAGAAAGAAGCAGAAGTCATGATTCCCATCGAGGGGGCAAGGTATTGCCTGTTATACTCGTCGGCCACCTCCCTTCTCGTCCGGGGGCGGCATCGTCGTGGGGTCAGACCAACACCCAACGCAACGCCGGCTCGTTATTACAACTTCTCGAATAGGAAGCGGAAGTAGGCCCCTAGCCTCCTTGACGGAACGACACTGGGTTGTCTTGGCATGCCCCATTCGAGCCACTGAGCGAGCTGGTCTGGCCAAGCGGGTGTGGGCGTGCGGCTCCATCACCATCATGCCACCCCCTTGTTCCCCAGATTTCCTCTCTCGCTCGCTACTCTAGCGGCGCCCATGAGCCCGGTTGGACAAGATTGGAAAGGGGGACCACCCCCACAGGACAGCTAGGGTACGACAATAGACAACCCGGTGCGTGGTCCTGTCCAATCTCGCGGTCGCCTCGAGACGGCATCGGTCCGAAATCCGGTACTGCATGCGGCTCCGGCCAAGTGGTTCCGACGGATGTTTGGTTCATGATCCGCTCCGGGGATGTTTTGGGATGACATCTTGGCCTTGGTGCATCCACTTGGCTCGATCTGTTCGGCAGACTCGCCGGCGGCGGTAACATCCCTGACGGGCTAGAGCTTCCTCTGGGTTTGTTGTTTC